ACTACAGTGACAACCCACCTCAGTGACACTCACCACCACGAACCCCACCTCAATAACAAGCCACCATGATGACAAACACCCCTACCACCATCACCAATAGGGGCACAGGAGTCAGTCACTGGTGAGGCTCAGGTGAACAGGGAGACCCACTCCCAGGCTAGTGCATTCCCTTGAGAGAGCCATGGCATGTTAAGAGAGGACCCACAGGGTCAGTGTCCCATTTCCTTCACAAACATGAATTTTACCTCCCAGCAGATACCAAGGAATTACCATGGAAAGACTCAGAAAAATTTTAAGTGATTCATGGACCCTGTAAAGAAATGTCCAGAAGTGGAAATCACACCCAGGACTTACGAAAGGTATTAACCCATTAATCTCCTACCTATCACACAGAGGTGGGTAACAGCTAGAAAAGAGGGCCCCAAGAGAAGTTCAGTGGAGCTTCTGTGCCCAAAATGTTGGATGGATTTTTTGAACATCAGTCAAGGGATCTAAATGATAAGGTCTTATGGTCAGATAGAATTCATGCAAGGAATAATACGGAAAATAACTACTCTCCTCAGATATGCATATGTGGCTACACTTAAATAGAATCGTGCTCCCTCCTCCCTGGGGCTTGACAGAGGCGGACCCAGCAGAGTGGAGCCGTTTGGGTAATCCCCAGTTAATGTGCACCACGTGCATCCGAGCTGCCCAGGGCCCAGGTGCCGCTTGCTGGTGTGTCCTCCGCGCACACCAACACAAAAAACACGGCAAAGGCAAGACAGTCTGGTTTCTAAAATAAAACAAAGAATCTAAAACAGACCCAAAATCCTGTTAGATGGAATATCAGAAAACCTTTCTAAAATTATAGACATAATCCCCACAAAGAGATTTTTAGTTTGTAGTACAAGAAACTTGGGGGTTCAATGAGAAATTGATTAGATGAAAATCTCAGCTGGGTGGGGATTTAGAGTTAGCCTGCTAATTTGGCATCCAGGGAGGAGATCAAACCCGCTTGTGAAACCCAATGCTCCTCCCAGGACACCACCCAGCAGCCTCCAAACCTGATTCTCATAAGGAAACTCTGTGGGCCACACCTACACGCATCCGGCTTGCCTTGCGAGATACCGCGAATGCTCTCCCAGGGAGAAGCCAAGTGTGGGTGAGTCTGTGTGCAGATTCTCATTATGGTTTACATATGGCAAGAAGGAACTAAGGGCCCCGAACCAGTTCTCCATAACCAATTCACTTGTGCCATGTGTCTGGCCACACAAAAGGGGAAATGGTCCCCAGAGCACCCTGGTTGGCACATCACCGGTTTCCTGGTGTAGGTGCAGCATGTGTGCAAAGATGGTGTCCTACACACCCCAATCCACGAGGCCCCTGGTTCACCAATGCACGGTGCCTACCATATCCAAAGTAGGAAGAGGAAGACAACGCTTGCATTCAAGGAGGGCGTACTGGTCCCTGCCAACACGAGTCACAAGGAAAGAGCAGAGCCTCTGCAATGCCACTCATGGATGTCAACACCGTGTCTGGGTGTGTGTCTCTCATCTTTTCCCAGTATTTCTTTCTTTTGGGGGAGTGGTACTGGGGATTGAACTCAGGGGCACTCAGGCACTGAGTCCTATCCCCAGCCCTGTTTTGTAGTTTATTTAGAAACAAGGTCTCACTGAGTTGCTTAGCACCTCAGGGTTGCTGAGGCTGGCTTTGAACTCATGATCCTCCTGCCTCAGCCTCCCAAGCCACTGGGATTACAGGTGTGCGCCACTGCACCTGGCTAGTATTTCTTAAGGGGGATAATGTGCCAAAATTATCTGGGCTACTCCCTGGGAACATGCACTCCCAAGTCCTTTGCAGGAGTACATGCCCCGCGGGATGCGCCTTGGGTGGGGAGTGAGTGTGGCGCAGCACTCTCACTTACAACCCGCCATCCAATTCACAGCTCCCATGGCACAAAATGTTCCTTACAGGCCTTGGAGTTATTCCAAACCCTGGAAATCATGTTGATTCCTTCAACATCAGCTAGATTGGATTTTCACAAAATCAACCTTAAGGCCGTGAACCTCTTCTTTGAGACCTTAGGCCTGTGCTACAACTACCAGAAACCCAGCTGCTGTCCCTGGGGCTCCGCATTCAGCCACAGCAACTTCCACGGCCACACGTGGCTGGCCCTCCCACATGGCCAGTGCAGACCATGGCGTCTCCAGGTGCAGCCACAGCACTCGGCCAGGTGATCCTGGGAGGGTCCATGCTGCCCGAGAAGTCCCCGGCTTCCTCCTGACGGCCGCTGGAGGGGAGCACGGGAGAAGGCACCACAGCGAGGGGTCCCCGTGAAGGCGGGAGACGCGCTCTAGATCGGACCTTCAGTCCCAGAGTTCCTGTGTTTTCAACCAGGGATGCTTCTCAGTCCACGGTCCTCTTCTGTCCCACGAAGTGTCCAGACTTTCCTTTCAGCCCTTCAGCCCACCACAGTGACCGGCCAGAGCGCGTGCTCTGCTGTTGAAGGTCTGCTTCTTTTCACTAATTCTTCTCCCCTCTCCCCCCATCTTCCGGCTTCTTGCCACATCTGGTGACGCATGCTGGACACCACGGCTGCACACTGCTTGGTGTCTGGGTCTCGTCCTCCCTTGACGAGCACTGTGGATCCTCTTGGCTCTGCCCGCCTCACCCTCCAGGGCGGCGGCCACCCTGCGAGGAGGAGCGCGTCCTCTGGGGGATTGATGGTGTGCTCGCTGTGCGGACTCAGGGTGGGCGTGAGCCTTCGTATTTAGGACCTGTGTCCTGGGAACCCTGGTTTTCTCTTTCATAACATGGTCATGAGAAGCACCCCTTCTCTCTGTACTGAGGATAAACACCGGATTCCCAGTGTGGGGGCATTGTCCAATACCAGAGCACCGGCGACCACCAGCCGTCCTGTCCAAGGCGAAGCCTCCCCGTCCATGCTGGCCAAAGCTCTTCCGTCTGTCCTCACTACTGGGGACAGGAGTGAGAAAGCCAAGCTGTGGAGCCAGGCCTACGGGGCCCAACCCGAGGCCTACTGGCCGGTTTTCAATAGGAAAGAGCTGGTAGGAGAGACCGCGAGGTGAAGGCAGCAGGCGCCCGGTGCACATGGGCTTGACCACCCTCATGCCAGGACAGTGCTGTCCACTGTGTCTTCAGTGTGCCGCCCTCCTAATGTCCAGGTGCCCCCGCCTCCTGTTCCCACGCTCACCTCACCGCGGGGTCGTCCCTTCTCTGCCCCTGTCTGCTGGCTCCGTACCTCACTCCTGCCCCACCATTCCCCCTGGGCCTCGTGACCCATGGTGACTTCCTGACATGGCAGATGGTGACTATTCTAGGGACCTCAGACAGCGGACAGCCCTGCTCTCTGGTCTCCCTGCCTGAGCTTCTTGAGACCCTCTGGCTCCTCCTGCCCCACCATGGCTTCTTTCCATCTCACCTGTGGGGGGCCGAGTCCTCCAGAGCACACCTTCAGCCCTCTCCCTGCCCCGATCACGGCCTGCCCATGGGTGGGTCACCAACCACCTGGTTTCGCTGGGACTCGTGGCTCCTGACTCCTGTGGCTCCCACCAGACCACACTCCACACACAGCAGCTCTGAGCTCCTCGGCAGCTTCTCGATGCCCGCAGGCCACCCTTCAGACTCCACAGCGGGATTCGGGGCTGCTTGGCACAGGCTTCCTGGGAAGTGGGGTTCCAGGCTGAATTTTGCTGTTCCCTCCTCTGTTCTCTAGACCCAATAACACTAAGAACCTGGCAGTTTTCAGCCCAGCATCCCCCATAGTCCCCAACGCAGACTCAGCCAGGCCGCCGGGGGACGTGGAGTGACCAGACAGAAGAGGCAAGAGTCCTCTTTTCTCGGCCCTGCCTGTCTTCACGGACTCCCTCTGCCCTGGCTCTGGGCTCTGCTGACCCAGGGACGTGCGCACCAGCTGTGGTGGCAGTGAACAACGCAGTGCTCGTGAGGGCCCAGCCTGGCTCGGGTTCCGGCTGGAACTGCCTCCACGCCGCCTCTCGGGCCAGGTCAGGGCGTTGCTGGGTCCTCTGGGTCTCTGAGAGCCTTTGCCCTGCCCTTTCCAGTCCCCACAGGGGAGCCCGGGAGATCAGCTGCAGTCTGAGCTCCTTCTTGATCCCGTTCACACTAAGTGAAATGTGATCACTTCACAGTTAGCCTGGGAAGAGCGGCTGATTTCAGAGGAACAATTTTAAAAAATGGATTTGTATGCATAACATCCATTGCCGTCAGTGGTGGTGGAGGCAGTGACTAATAAAAATGTCATTTCCTGTGATTTTTATAAATTACAGTAAATATGCCAGTAATCACCTACATTAGCTGCTGGAACGCAGGCGCCGTCTGCAGTCGAGGCCGGGGGACTTCACGGAGGCCTCGAGAGGTAGACCCCACAGGTGCAAATTGACACCTAGGAAAACAGTAGTTAGTACATGCTAGAATTTGGAGAAGGGAAAAGTGTTAAAATAAATGTATGTCAAGCAGACAAATTTGGACTTCTCCATGAGGATCTGTCACGTCAAACAGGAAATAGCTATAAATTACTCGTAATAGTAAAAATCTTGTCATTTACAACCTCTAAAGCAACGGGCTCATTTAACACATCAGCTCATAGATAATGATCGAGGAGAGTCAGCTGGGTATTTATTCCTCTTTAATGTGCAAAAGCCAGGGTGAGCCCCATGTGACTGCAGAGGACCCCGCGGTGACCCGTCAGCCCCTACACCACGAAGGAGCCGAGGGCTAACTGCTGCATATGTCAGGATCTGAGGTCCCTTCCTGCCCTGTAAAAAGAATTAAGACAGGACTGGAAGTGTCAGGCTGTGGGTCGTCTCATAATGAATAATTCCAAATAAGTCCCACCCTTATTCTGTTTATTTGTTTTCCTCAGAAGCCATTTGAAGGCGTTGGAGCTGAAAGTGTGTTCCAACATGCCAACATTGCAGCATCTCTAGTCAACTTGCTAACCAATTCAGAGGCAAACAATCACTGGATTCTGTACTTATTTCAGATGCCTCAATGTCCACTGCCCATGGATAAGAGACCACAGCTCAGAGACATTTTCTAAGGAGGCCAAAATGCCTCCACAAAGGAGGCCCAGCATGATCCAGAGAGGTGGACACCCAGAGCCCTTTCTGCAGCACATGGAGACCGGCTGGGAAGCAGGTACTGGTGGAGATGCTCACTGAGGTCTCCGTGCATGAAGTGATATCTGCTGATGACCTGGCTCAGAACATGGGCAGAGGGCTAAGAAGGCCAGAAGCAGAGAGCAGCAGCCTCTCACATCCCCAACCATACCACAAAGAAGGGCCTGGGCCTCGGGATCGAGCACACCGGTCACATTAGTCTGTTCATTCATTCATTTATTTTGTGGAACTAGGGGTTTAACCCAGGGATGCTCTGCTCTGAGCTTCAGCCCCAGTCCTTTTTTATTTTGAGAGAGGGTCTCACTAAGTTGCCAAGGTTGGTCTTGAACTGCCACTCCCCCAGCCTCAGTCTCCCGAGTCACTGGGATCCTACTCATGCACCACCGTGCCCAATTACACACTGCATTCATACCTGTCAGCATCGAGGACCTAAGGAGAACAGTCGTCCTCAGAGGGATGCTGATCGCTTGCTCTCTCTCCTCCCTGGCCTCTTGGCACCCCCCTGTTTTCTGCTCTCCAAGAGCTCAACTTGGACAGACCCCACCTGTGAGTGCACACACACGTCTGCCCACACCTGCACACACACACACCTGCACACACGCACAGGCCACGGGCTATAGAAGGACACCGGTGTCCTGGCAGCCTGTGGTGGAGGCCCAGGTCCCTGGATGAGTCCCTACTGTTTGCTTTCCCACATTCTGCCCCGGGAGGCTCAGACAGATGAAAATCAGTCTCTGTGTCCACCTGGACGAACACAAGCTGGTTTAGAAGAGAATGCTGAATTTAATTTAAAAAGAAGTTAAAATTTTAACATCAGCTTCAGTGGGTGCAGTGTAACCAGGCATTTACCTGATCTCTCTCTGAAGGGGATCCTGTTTTCAGAATAATGGTGAAATTTCAGACTGACCAGTGGTGGCATGGGGTGAAGAAGTGACCTGTGGAGGTCAACACAAGGGCATGGAAAGGTGGAGAGTTTGGCACCAGTGTGTCATGTAGGTCACCTTCCTGTCACTGAGGACGACAGGCTGATTCTGGAAAACAAAGCTCCAATTAACCACGTCCACTCTAGAGTCCCCAGACCAAACCCAAACAGGCCCAGACGATGCACATCATAGTGGCAGGCACCAGGCATGGATGGGGACCAGCACACTCTTTAGTGTCCAAATGTGTCAAGTAGTGTAAACAACTGGGGCTTTCTCTAACTTAGATAATTTGTGGAAAAACCAGCAACCTACAATTGCTAGATTGTTGCTGATGAAAGAACATTTATATTTTTTTTCTTTCCTTTCTTCTTTTGGTGAGTGGAATGAATAATTGTTTCAATTCTATATTTAAAAATTACATGGAACTATAGACTTAATTTATAACAAAGTTAACTTGTATAGCACAATGGGTAATTTTGAAAATGTTTTGGGCAAAATGTTATAAACTCATTATTTAGTTAGCTAAATGATGCATACTATAATCCTCTGGTTCTAAGACACATAACTTAAATGTTTTTATCATCTCTGAAATCTAAATGCACTGTCTCCGTCAGTGACCACTTGGGATTGGTGGAGCTTTTTCTTTCATAGTGAGGTGGAAACTAAAGATGCATCTTAGGCTTGTGGAATAGAGAAAAGATGTGTGGATATCTCCTTTAGATAACTTCAGGTCCATGTGGTCAGAGGTGAAGAAAAGCTACTTGTGTAAGGATTGTTTGGCCCTAATACCTCTTTACCTAGGAATTAAACAGTGTCCCCAAACTTCAACATAACTCTTTTTATTCCAAAACCACCTGTCCCTATAAGTGGTTCATGCTGATTCCATCTTTCCTTCTCTACCATCAACTAAAAAAGCTACAAATGGTGGCTCTAGAAGCATCTCAGGATGGACCAAGGAGACCAATTTTCCAGCTGGCACCAAAGTTGATGTGTCAAAAAATATATATATCAAACACCACTGGAGAGTATGAAGCTAGTTAAAATAAGCATGCACATTTCAGCAAAGTCCTGTCCACCTTGGAGCTCGCTCACCGAAAGTGCTCCAAGCAACCTGGTGACATGGAGAAAGCTCCACACTGGGACCTCCACGGTGCTGGCTGTGTTGCCACCTGGCCCCTCCTGTGGGCACTCGCCCTCACTCACTCTTCTCAGCCAGGAGTCTTGCAGAGGACTGTGGGTTATGCTAAGTCAGTCTGAAGTGATGTGTGGACAGAGGAGGAGGAGAAAGACAAAGTGTGGATTTTTTTTTTTTAAGCGATCAGGATTCCAGCCAGGGGAAATGCCCTACAGCGGCTCTGCTGGACACCTACTGCTCACCACCAGTGCCTGCTGGGCCACACACAGAGGCACCTCAGGTGCACGTCCAGGCTCTTGGTTGGCTCCTGACAGCCATGCCATCGGAGGGCTGAGGCAGACGCAGCTTCACTTTCAGCCTCTGCTCTCCACCTTGTCTCATTCTTCCTGGGACCATCCTATATGAACGATTTAAAGGGAATTACCTATTACTTCAATTATTTGTTTCTTATCGACTGATGTTAAACTACAAGGATTTGCATTGAAAGGACACAAAGAAAGAGCAAGTCGTGGCACGTCGCCAAATGAAAGAGTAATGTTCTGGTGAATTTAGCCTAAATAATTTACTGCCACATAAAAGTGGAAAAGTGGAAGGTGAACCCTTTGACCAATAAATCTCTCCTGCCCATGAAACCCTTATCTGGTCCCCTCCGATGTATTCCACATGAGGAAGCCATCACCATTGGCTCTGGTTTGCTATTTGTAAACCTTGATCTTCTGCACTCGGTGTCCTAAATATGGATAATTAGCATCAGTTTATCACGCTTCTGCATATTTTCTCTTCTCTCCAAACACGCGTGCTTCTGTTGGCTGCCATTCTGCTATGGAAGATTATGGAGACAGATTGCAGAGAACGAATGTGCTAAACGAGATTAGGAAGGAATAGAAATAGCAACTTGGCCAATAAATTCCTCGTGAGAGCCTTATCATGCAATTACACGTTGACTTGCTTCACACTCTCTCAGCCTCTTAATCCAACGCCCCCACCAGGAATAAAATTTCACTAATTTCTGAATTGCAGCATATCCTCCTGACTTGTTACTGAGAATGGTTGGAAGGAGAAACACTGCTCAAAACATCGTGTCAAACTTTATGATAAAAAAAGTAAACTCTGAATGCCTACTTGGGTGGTGCGACTTGGGATGTTTAAAGCATTTTAGCAAATGATTGCATGAAGTCTTGGCTTGGAGGGTGAGTCCCACACTCCTCATTGTGCCACTGTTGGGGATTCAGAACTATCAGAAGGGGGAGGTCTACCCAGAACTATCTGGTGCATTTAAAATGAGGGCAAAGCATGTACTACTTTTCTTACTTATTATGATCACTGATAGCAGTCAGGATACCTCAAATAATTCTGTCAGGGCTGATCACTTGACCTCTTAAGGACAGTCTCCTCCCTGCTCACACAGGCTGGGCTTCATGCAAGGCCTCTCTTAGTGCTAGGAGCACTGTGGCTCCTATGCACCTAGATGTCTAAAAATAGGAAAATTCCTGCCCACTCTGTGCCTCCCCAGAGTGGGGCCAGAGCAGTCTAATGGGGCATCTACAGGGGGAGCTCTCTTCTTGTTCTACTCTGCCTGTTAATTCTATTCTCCCCAGGGCTTTATAATAAGTTAGGTATTTAAAGAGGCCCATTAAGCCTTTCGATCTACAAGGGACTATTTATAGCACAGACCCACAGTCAGGCATTAGGATGCCCCCATAGGAAGCAAGGCTCTGCCACAGCAGGAAGACGCTGGCAGGCCAAGCTTGTGTGTGCAGGGAGGAAGCGCACAGCAAACCTTGTAAGTGTGCTTGCAGAAGAGGAAAGACTTCCAGTTCATGGTGGAAATCATTGCACAAAGAAATTCACAGTAATTGTTTATGCACAGATCATAACGTTGCCTTCACTTTCTTTCCTCCAAATAATTTCTACAAGAGTCACAGAGGAGAGGGCTCATGAATGGTCCAGAGAAAGAATTCCATGTTTCCTTTTCAGATGACCTGCTTCCAGGCTGAGTGCAGGGCAAACTGGACAGTGCCCACTCCCAGGTACATGCTGACATCTCTTCCACCTGAGCAGTGCCAGGCTCTGCTTCAGAACCTGGTATGATGGCACAGAGAAGTCCCCTGAACCAGCAGTCAACAGGCTATGAGGGTGCAGGTAGGTCTTGACCTTGGCAAGTGTGGGCTTACCTTTTGCAAGTGGACTGGCCTCTTACTGGCTGCCAAAGATTTTCTGTTCTGGAGAGAAAGCTGACCTGGAACTTTCCTCTGCCTTGAGGGACAGCAGGACTGAGGGGCCTGGGAGGCACTGGGAGGCTCTTATCCAGTACTAGATTCAGTAGGAGATCCCAGCTCAGATGCCTGCCCTCCTGAACCAGAACCAAGAACCTGGCAGTGGGGTGGCAGCTACAACTCTGAGGGCAAAGGCACTTCTCTTCTCAAGTCATCTGGCAAGGAAAGCAAATGGATGTCAGGGGTCAGAAGTTCCACTTCCCTGCACCCTCCTTTTTTCAGAGATCCGAAGGCACCTGTTTGTTTGGAGGAGAGAGCCTTCCTAGTGCAGTGGGGATGTGAGTCAGAGAGCCTGGCCTGCTGGTTTTGTGTCCTGGAGGAAATGTGCTGGGGGCTTTGCAGTGCCAGGTTGGGAGCTCTGCATGTGGCTCATCTAACACCTCTGCTCAAACCAGGAGACAGTAAGACTGTGGTCACCCTAGGCCAGAGGCCCAAAGGCAGGCACCTCCAGGCTTGGCCTGGAGACCCCATCCCCAGGGGAGGGACAGAGATGTAAAATCAGATGAGGAGTTGTTAATAACTGCCCTCCCCTCCACTATGTCATATTTCCTGAATTGGTGAGCTATGCTGATGGGGGTGGAGTAGGAGGGAGCATTTGCCATTAATCTGGGAACAAACGGCTAACCTCGGTGACTGGTATTTCGCTTTTCTTTTCTCACTTTTCTCAGTGTGGGGAAAGCAGTCAAGCCCGCGCGGCGCGATTGTGAGGGGCTCTGCTGGAATTTGGCAGCGCAGAGGCTTGGAGAGCTGCCCCATGCTGGCTCCTATTCAGCGGGCCGGTTTTCCTCGAGCTTTGGAAGTTTCACTCAGCCATGCACTCAATGGCTTCACAAAGCTGATTACAAGCTTCAGCGCATTCCTGAAGGAGCCAAAAGCGACGCAGGTGCAAACGAGCCGAGGGAGCCCCTTATCCCGGTGACAGAATGGGACAAGCTGGGAAAGGCTTGGACCACACAAATCCAAGGCTCACCAGGCAGCAGAAAGCCTGCCTTGGGAACCGGGGGTCATTATCCGCCCTATTCAGCGGGGCCCGGGGACCCTGGGGGCCCGGAGAGGCCGGCCCCAGCGCAAGCGCCACCGCCAGCGCGGGCCAGCGACAGTGGGGACCCTGCTGGGCCCTGCGATTGGACTGGGGCATGGGCGCTGGGCTTGTTTGTATCGACAGCATCCGTGAAATCCCTACCCCAACAGGCCGCTGTCCTCGCTGATAGGCAACAGGAAGAAGAGCGTGGCAGGAGGTTCCGCGGTGCGTGGACCCGCGCGGGTTCGCTGTCCCGGCCGCATTGCTTAGGCCCCGCCCCTCCCCCCCCGCACTGCGGGACTCCGCCAGGGACCCCAGGCCGAGGCGTCGACCACAGTTCTGAGGGTCTCTGCGGCCCCTTTCTCCCCCAGTCCCCTTTCATGTCTTATTCCGTGGGGCAGCGGGGTCCGGTAGAGAGCAGCACCGATGCGGTGCGGTACAGGGGCAGTGGCATGAGGGGAGAGTGGGCTTCCTCCACTGGGCCGTGGAGTCAAAGCGCGCTGGGCGAGGCAGAGTCTGATTCTGCGTCTGGGGAGGAGAGCCCGCTTCTCTCCCGAGTCACTGATGATGTCCCCGCTTGAGTTCAAGGACCAAAAACCAGGGGCTGCTGACGGCTGGGAGAGACTGACCGGGCCTCGCCCAGCGCCCAGGAGAGAAGAACGCGCGTGTGGGAGGGACGTGGGCTGGGGCCTGGGGCGCAGTGGAGGGGAGCGCCAGGGAAACAGCGCGGGCGCGGGGACAGGCCGCCCTGTGCCGGGTCCAGGCTAGCGCAGCACTCTGCGCAGTCCCTGCGTGGGGCCAGGGTGGCTTCCCCCACCTGCACGCCCCCCACTTCCTGGCCCTGCTTGCCCAGCAAGGCCTGGGCCCCGCCCGCCTCGCGCTGGGCCTGGTTGCGCCCGGGGGTCCCCGCGGGCAGGGCGCGGGCGGGCAGGGCGCGCGCGCCGACGCTCTTTTGTCTGATAACTAATTTGAGTTAATGCGATCTTTATGTAAAGCTAACAGCGGATAATTGTCTATTTTCTCGCCAACAATCTCCATCACAATCACTTATCTGGAAACCTGCGGTTGGATTAATCGTTATATTCCCGAGATGAGCGTCGCTGCAATCCGCAGCAAACGCAGTGGGGACGTGGAAACGCCTCCCGGGAGCTGCCCGGACGCGGTGCGCCAGAGTCGGAGCCCGCGGGTGAGGGCAGTTGGGTGCGCCTCTAGAACTTGATTTTGCTCGGGTGGGTGGCGCAGGGGCGCGGGGGCGAAGGGAGGAGGGGAGGAAAGGCCTGCAGGCAGAGCGAGCGGCTGGGTTGGCTTTCCGCGAGGGCGCGCGGCCTCCGGGTGCACGCGGCCGCGGAACTGTCTGTCGGAATCGAACGCTTTTGACCTGGGAGAAATGAAGCCCTCACACCCACTTTTGTTTTTTTTGGCTGCAAAAGATGACTCCGCCCATGGTCTTGATTCTTCCAGCTTCATCCCCTGCTCCACCCATCGTCCGCTTTTGGTCCCTCCCTGCAGACCCCTCCCACAGGATCCTGCAAATTATTGACAATACATCCTCCAAGATTGGAATCCCAAGACAGAAACTGTGGGCGTGGAAACAAATCCCAATTCCACAGTTCCCGCCCGCTCCGGCGCTGGGTAAGGTGGTGGCAGATGGTGTCAAACCTCTGGGGAAGAAGCACTTGTGTTATAAAGATTTTGTCTTTCTGAGCTGAAGTCAAAACATGAGCGTTAAGTGGAAATCATTTTGGCGGTGGAAGGGCTGAGCACCGTGAGGTCTGCAGGAAGTGTGGCACCGTCGATTTCTGGAACCAAGTACTGCTTCTGGCTAGTAGCTGGAGGGTGAACCATCTTGATTTCACCGGTTTCTACAGCTCGGTTTGCCATCCGAGGTCAGGGTTGTAACTTTAAAAATGTTTCTGGAAAAAAATCGCAAATTCACAGAGAATGAAACTATTTGCTCCCCTTTGGGCAGTACAGTTATTGGGTTTTTAGGTAAAGGAATGCCTCAGAACACACCCTAAACAAACAGGGCTTTGTCAATTCCTGTTAGGAAGTTTTGCTCTTGAATTTTCCCTTCCAACTGAGGAGGTGTTTAGGAGCAAACAAATAAAAACCCACTTCAAAAATCAACACACAGGGCTGGGGTTGTGGCTCAGTGATATAGAGCACTCTCCTAGCATGCATGAGGCACTGGGTTCGATCCTCAGCACCACATAAAAATAAAAAATAAAGATATCGTGTCCACCTAAAACTAAAAAATAATTTTTTAAAATCAACAAACCAAAGCTCTTGTAAGGTTTCCAAGGTTGCTCTTCCCAGTGACTGTCAGGAATCTTCCCATTTCATCTCTCACCTGAATCTTGTCACCAGGGACCATCTTGAAGTGATCTGTGGACAATACTGATCCCGACAGCCCGCTGGTCAATCAGGCCCAACAGTCTATGCAAATGCTGGGAGGCCCCGCTCCGAGAACAGGGAGCCCATTGTCCTGGGCATTTCAAAGCCCAAGCAGCTGCGCAGACGAGCCGCCTGGGGCCCGGGCTGCCGCGCTAATGTCATCATTGCAAAGCGTCAGGTTTTAACACCATACAATCGGAATCCAGGAGCAGCCTCTCGGGAAGGTTTCTCTTTCCATGGCAATTTTAAAAGTCTGATGCTTCTGTGGGTGGGGTGTGGAGGGGAGGGCCCGGACTGCGCTGGGGAGTTCGCTAGTGACAGTCGGTGGGGAGCCAAAGTCTCCCCTTTCTGGTGGATTCACAAACCTTAAAGTCGTCCTTGGGGTTCTGAGTCTGGATGTCTGACTCATGGCCCCGAGATTTCGCGGTTTTGCCATTTTCTCTAGCCCTGGGGAAGGGCCCGCGCTCCAAGTGAGGGAGAGGACAAAGGCAGGCGTGTTTTAACGAGGGCGCGGTGACAGCCTTCCAGGTTCTTATGAAGTTGAGCTCCAGTTAGTCAGTGATTACTAGGGCGGCCAGCGAGTTAAGCCAGCACCGCCACCGGCCCGCCACCTGCCAGTCCCCACGCAGCGTCCCCTGTAATGGCTTCTGCTCGCCGCCAGAGCCTGGTCCCTGGGCCCCCACCTTCGCGGGTGACCTCGTTTCTCTGGAGCCATTATGTGGGAAGGATGCGCTTGGTGTCCGCGGCGGCGGCCCCCGGGGCGGGGGCGGAGCTCGGGACCCGCCGAAGAGAGCGGGGCTCCCCGCATTTCTGGGGTCCCAGAGCCCCGGCGTGCGGCTCCGCCTGACCCGCCAGCAGGCGCTCTGCTCATTCCCGGGCTGCGGTCCGCGGTAGCGCCCAGCAGCGTCTGTGGGATGGAAAAGGTTCCCAGGAAAAGGAGGCGAACACGGAGAGCACCAGGCCGGTTCGTAGGGTGAGACTAGGGCTCTGTGGCCCCTGCGCTCTGAGGTCTCTCCTGAGGGCCAGAGGTCTTCCCTGAACCCGGATCCCTCTTTAGATGCCTTCCTATTTCTCCGCAAATGGAGTGGGTAGGATTTGGAGGATTTGGGTACGATTTTTGTTCACCAAGAGGAAAACTAAGAAATAAATGGACATGGTTGGTTTGGTTATGGGTGGGGGTGAAGTCAGAGGTCACTATCAATGGTCAACCAGGGCCTAGGGATGGGAGACTTTTCAACTGGACACCTCTGGAGAAACTGAAGAAGACTCTTTTTCCCCCCATGGAGAATTGCATGATGGGCACCTTGGACCTGTGGTGGCTCCTCTTGGTCCCTGCACCACTGTGGTGTGTGGGGCTGCACAAGCCCCCTGCCAGACCACCCACTGTGGAGGCCAGGGAAACCCAGAGGCAGACTGTGTCAGAGACCTTGACTGTGGGCAGGTGGGGCCTGGGCTGCGCGTCCTGTGGAGATGGAGGCTTTGCTGCTCTGAGTCACTGATGTAGCTCCAGGACTCCCACAGGAAGACAGTCTCGGGCTCGTCAGGGTGTCAGAACGTGATTCCTGAAGGAAGCCTTCGCTCTTACTGTAGTCCACACACACACACACACACACACAGGGGACCTAGGACTGACCTCTCTGACAAACAGGCTACACAGTCACACACTCACTCTTCCATGGGCTCCCCCCAATGCACACACTCACCCTGAATCTCTAGCGGTGGGGGGGCTTGTGCATGCTGGGCACCTGACCCTGCCTGGGAGGAGGAACCTCAGAGCTGCAAGGAAGTCCAGCAGCTGCAGCAGGAAGAAGGATGTGTTTATTTCTAAACTTTAGTGTCCTAGTCCTTCCGCACTTTGGGAGCTGGGATCCTGCCCAGCACAGTGGAGTTGACTGTACTGTCACATTGTGACCAACTCCTGGTCCATGCTCTCTCTCAGCACCCCCCTTGGCTTCTCTAGTCTCTGGGCAGACCAGTGTTATCTGATGGGTACCTGCCAGCCACACTGGATTTTAGAGATATCGAATTAAAAAGAGCACACAAAGGGCTGGGGTGTGGCTCAGCGGTAGAGTGCTCCCCTAGCACGTGCAGGGCCCTGGGTTCCATCTTCAGCACCACATAAAAATAAATAAATAAAATAAAGGTATTGTGTCCAACTACAACTAAAAAATAAATATTTTTTAAAAATTAAAGAAAAAAAACATACAAAATACCTCATTAATCATTTAAAATACTGGTTACAGATTGAAATGATCATACTTTGGATATATTGGGTTAAATAAAATGTATTAGTTAATTTCACCTCCTTTTTATCTATTTAAAATGTAGGTGTCTGGAGGTTTAAAATGGATGGCTCCCATTTGGGGCTGTGCTGTGTTTCCCCTGAGTTCCCCTAGCCTTCTCAGTGACCCTTTAGAAAGTGCACAGGAAAAGCCAAATCGGGGGCAGAGGTGGGGAGTAGGCAGGGTGTGACCTAGCCAGAGCCCAAGGCAGAGCCACCATATCAAAGTGACTTGTGCAGCACCTCTTACCTAAAAGTCTTTTTACACAAGAGAGTGCTTGTGGGGAGGGGAGCCTTGTGTTTCATTGCTTGATTCATGTCCTTTCCATGTCAATGTGAATTCTGTCCGAT